TTTAAGATTCTTTGAAAAGGTTACTGCTTATGTAGATGATAGTAAAGGTGTAGATTTGGTGTAACTGGATTTTCAGAAAGCATTGGACAATGTACCGTATAAAATGCTTGTAAAAAAATGTTCTCTATAGGTGTGGGGGATCAGTTAGCTAATTGGATGGAAGAAAGCAGAGAGTTGTTATATATGGAGTTCAGTCAAACTGGATTAATGTCACAAGTGGGGTACCTCAGGGATCAGTCTTGGGATCTTTTCTTTTTTTAATTTATATTAATAACATAGATGAATGATAAGGGCTGGCTTTAAGATTTACATTTTATTTTCTACTTTAGTTTTTCATGGTTTTAGTTTAAAGAATAGAACAGCCAAGATGGACCAACAGGTCCTTCATTGTCCCTAAACATTATGTTATCTGCACATCAGTTTTCACCAAAGAGACCCTTCATTTTGGTAATATAATTTATCATTGTGTAATTAAAATATATATTAGCAAGATCCTCCATTTAATTATTTTATACTTTGATTTGCATTAAATTTTATGCTCTTTCATTTGAAGAATAAATGCCATGTAAAATGCAGTTCATGTTCTTGAGTAGAAAATTTTCTTACTGCATATAGTCTATTTAAGTTTGAGGGACAGGAATGGGAGAAAATAAACCCATAATAAAATATTATATTGGAAACCATAATTCTGTAATCCACACATATATTAATTTATTTCTGCAATTCAAACATATTTAGAAATATAGGTGCACCCAGAAAAACCTTTTGAAGATATTTTACTTATCTACACAATACTAATAATCCATCAGAAAATAGACGTATCTATAATACAGTCAGAAGGCTTACTAATTTCAATTAAAATATGCAAGATATCCTAAGTTACTTATTTATCTACTATCAGTAGTTTTAAAACATTAAAAACTAATTAAATATTTGTTTTAAAAATATTCCTCAATTTTAGTTTTACTTCTTTCAATCAGGAAACAAACGCACAAACATTGGCGCTTTCTCATCCATAATTGGCGGGAACAGCTAGCAGCCTAACCCAGCCAAAAGTGCTCCCGCCCATGGTCCACGTCGATGCCTTACCTGATTTTGGAATTCCTGCCGTCTTTTATTTGCACGATGATCATCTATACTAACATTCTGCAAGAGATGGAAAAATAAGTAATGAAATACACTAATCTCATAAACTCTTAAATACTGCCGCACAAACAATAACTTAAATTAAAATCAAATAAACCTCTCCAATTTTTAAAATTAAATTGTACTTCCAAAGCTCAGACTTACCTCTGAATCGGTCGTTGCCTTTCTTTTACGACATAAAATAGCTGGCTGTAAACGTGTCTCTTTTTTCCATCTAAAATTCTTTACACTGCAGAAACACAATAAATTTTAAACTTCAGTTTGAAAGACGTTTGAATTTGATTAACACTATGTTAAAGCTTATCCTTAGACTAAATTATTCAGAGATAATACATTTCGTTAACAGTTATACAATCACTGTAAAACTGAAACATAAATCGTATTTAGCTGTGAGTAATGTAATCATAAGCTTACCTTCGTTCTGACATCCTAAACTGGTACCAATTATATTCCGTTGTTCTTCAACCTTAGGGAAATAAAAGAACTAAATTAATTACCATAGGGCAGAAAGGAGTAAAAACTTACATATATAATAAAATTATCAAGAATTCGTCTGCATAGTATTTAGCTGGGAATAAATTTTTGGGAAATATACTTACCGAGTTACTCATTCTGTTTACTTAATATAATTCATATTTATTAAAAACCAAAATGCATTCCGTAAAAACTCGCAACCTTATAACTTATTCTAAACTTTACTACTGACTTTAACTTAAGACAAAAACGATAAAATCCACTTACGTAAACATTAAACTGACTGTAAGCATTAAACTGAAAGTTACACTTTCACATCTCAGTGAGTCTGAAGTTCAACTTCACGCTAGCTCAAGCTATTGTCAGCGTTAATGTTATACATTTTTTAAGTTTTAGATGGGGCAAAGATCAACAACAATCTTAAAAATGAAAGTCCACAAAATACTAATAAAAATTCTCACATATACATATTGTAAAGCACCTGGTTACAATTTATAAAGCCAATAATCATTCGTTCTTAAACTACCCCAAAATTTCCATAAACCTTAGAAGACAAAGCACCGAAAAACACCCACTTACCCCGCCGTTCCCAGCTGAGTAACTAACGTCGCGCCAAAACACACAGCGACACCACGCAGTAATTTACGCGTGCATGATGGGTAAAGCTAAGTTTTTGCTGTAAACTAGTTATTTAAAATGAGTAATCTTTGATAGAATTAAAATTGTCTGAAATACAGGTTATGATTTTAAAGAGACTGCTGTATCTTTTTTCTAAATTGCACAAGCAGAAGTAACTGTGTAAAATACTAATCACTTGGATTCCATTGCAATAGTCTATTCAATATGTAAACAAACAGAACCCTATGATATCAGTAATTAAATTAAATTCATAGGATATTATATCTTAATCTTATTAACTGTTGTTATCTTACTTACCCAAGGTACACAATGGGCTCTCTACACTTTGTCCTCCTCAGAATCGAACCTCGGACGTTAGCATTGTAAATCTATAAACTTATCATTTTCTCACCAGGGGACTTTTATTAACTGAAACAGAAAAAAAAGGCATTCGTGTAACTTATAAATTGTGAGACTTGATATGATACATGTATATAAATATTTTAAACCTTTTGTTCATTTATACGTTAGGGATACTTACAAACACGTTCCAAACTCTTTTATTTCTTTGCATTTGTACTACAAGCTATTGGCCAGATGAAGACGGTGCGTTACCAATATTATTGTTTCTTTGAAATTTATACCAAATAGTAACAAATATACAAGTTTTATCAGTATCTGAAAAATATTATTCGTGCTTATTTTTATTTTATTTTTGTGTTTTATGTTGCAATATTGAAATAGAATGAGATACACACACAACATAGCTACATGTCAACAGCTGACGACCGTTATTGATTTCATTTTGCGCATGCGTACTTAAGATATATATGTCGTGACGTTCCGATGTACGCGAACTGTGCAGACTCTTTATTGGTTCCTACTTTTGTGGGAAAAAAGAAAGCCGGCGCAAGATGTAAACATAACCACGTGCTTCTTTGGCGTAGTGTAGCTTCGCAAATTTGATGAAATAATCATTAATAATTTATTCTAATATTTTAAACTTGAAACTTTTAAGGATATATTAACTAAAATTATAACTGTTTTTGATGAAAGCTTCGTTTCCTGCATCATTTTTTTTTACAAAAAATATTGTTTCTTTAACAGATAATTTCTTTAAAGTAAACAAATTGCTTTATACTTACTGATGTAGAAACCGTTAAACAATTTTTTTTATAGAAATTCATCATCTTTATAAGTACTTCTTGTGAACTTTCGATGTTATCCTCGACTCATAATTCTGTTCATTAAACACTAATAAATGACAGATCTTTCTAGCTTACTACAACCAGGATAACTTTAATAGTTATTACCAAATATTACCAAGAAAACATTAATTTACAGGCTTACACTAAATTTATGTTCATTGTTATAATACTGCTGAAATTTGTACTAATTATGATGGTTTATATATTTTTTAATTAGTTTTTTAAAATTATATTCTATAAGTACATCTACGTATCTGCTAGCTTAGGTCAAATATTTTAAACATACCTTAATAATTATTACATAAAAGCTTTATTTTCTATTCAAACATGAATAAGTCAAGAGTAAAAGAAACTTAGATTTATTGATATCATGTATATGCGTAACATGAGTTTGGTATTTTTGGTGCACAAATTGTCGAAAAAAATGAAAATAAGAATGAAACACTTAGCGCTCTTGGATAACGTTAATTTAAATTTAATGAATATTCTTATACCTCTAAAAATTATCCTAATAACCTAGATTTATCTTTGTGAATCTTTCATGTCATTTGATAATATTTGTAAGATATCTTAATGTGTGCCTCTTCCCCCCCAGTGGCACAGCGCTAAGTCTAAAGGCTTATAACGCCAAGAATCAGGTTTCGATACCCGTGAAAGGCACAGCATAGATATTTCATTGGGTAGCGCTCCCAAGTGGCACAGTGGCATGTCTGCGGACTTACAACACTAGAAATCGGGTTTCGATACCCATGGTAGGCACAGCACAGATAGTCCATTGTGTAGCTTTGTGCTTAACTTCAAACAAAACAACACAAAAACAAATCATTGGGTAGATTTGTGCTTAACTATTGACAAACAAAGTTAATATGTGTGTTTACTGTTACGTATCTGCTCATTTGTTAATTTCTGGTATAAAATTCTTTCCGATGAACTTCAAAAATACAAGTCCTTTCTTAATTAAAACTAGTTTATTATTTCTTGATACAACTTTTTGTAAAACACAGAATTTCCACAGTCACTTGAAACTTAACA